ACCCCCCATGTAATAACCTTGTGACCCCTGAGGGGTCACAATCCCCAGTTTGAGAACCCCTGAGCAAGCATAACTGATCCCAGCCATACTCAGACCCTGTGAAATTTGGTAGCATGGAACAGGCCAGCAAGACTACCTGTACTTCTTTCCCCAGTTCTACTTATATTACAGCACTTTGTGGGCACAACATTAAACACAGCAGCTCTCCAGTCACCCGTAGAGTTTCCCAAGACAAACAGGAGATGGGACCAGAATTCAAAGGGAGAAAAGCGGGGGGGAGGGGGGAATGATCCCTGTGACTCCCCCTTCCCAACCCCAGCCGTGAGCATCCTTCACACATGGATGAGAAAGACCCTGTGTCTCCCCCCGTAGCTGTGAGTGCCCTCACACACTTACAGGGAGGACCCTGTGACTCACCCCAGCTATGAGTGACCCTCACCCATTCATGCATGGGATGTGTCAAGCTGTCTGGAGCGGTTCATGAGCATGAGTACCAACCTTAGGGCAGACTACTAAGAAGTAGGGCACAAACCCTAAGTTGGCTGTAAGTTCTATACTTAGATTCACCAACCAAGTGTGAATTACATTAAGGCATTACAACAACCTCAACACAGAGCCACAGATAGTCCGCATGAGAACTCCAGTCTGTCTTGCTACCCAGGTAATCTTGCCATTACAATACATGATCCCTTACACCAAAAATCACAACAATACTCAGGTTACTTCCAGTCCCATTACCCTGGGTCAATTCACTTTAGATCCTACACCAAAGACACTTGTAGCCACTCCTATCATAAATTAACTAAAGATTTATGAATTAGGAAAAATAAATACAAGTTATTTACAAAGTTAAAGCAAGTAAACATACCACACAAATTACTTACAATCTTAGATTCCAAAAGGTCATAGAAGCTGCGGTAATACGCAAGCTGTTTATGTCCTCTAGGGCTAACCCAAGCTGAACATCCAGGGATCCCTTGCTTATGCTTAGAAGTCTTGCCCTCTCCCTGAAGTCCAGGCTGCATAGGGATAACAATTTTTTCTTGACAGGGATTTTTATTCGGTTCCCCCAGAGCGCAAGCTGATGGGATGAGTCTCTATGCACCGCTCTTCTTCATGGGTGTGGGGGGAAGTAATCAACAAAGTTTTTGTCCTCTGATGTTCCACAATGGCTTGTCTGGTGTCTATGGGTCTTCTTTTGTTGGTCAGGAGATAACACTTCCCTTTGGTAAACTAGTATTTCACACTTGTTAATGCTTCTCTCCTAACTATGGGGGTTTACAATTTTAGAGCAAATACTTTTATAGGTACAGAGCAAATACTTAAATATTATCTTGTAGCACAGGACACAGATATTATAAGTGAGATTACTGATGCAGCAACTTACAAGCATTTCATAAAGTCTGAACACTAAATACATTTCCATAAAGCTAATAACTATTTTAACAATACTAACACACTGGGCCACTCACACTGTCATGAGGGGGAACCATGTGACTCTCCCACCTGTGAGTGACTCTGACACACTCATGGGGGGGAGCCTGTGACTCCTCCCAGCCCTGAGCTCTCCTCACACACCCACGGAGAGGGACCCTGTGAGAGGGGACCCTATGACTCCCGCTTCACACACTCACACACAGGGGACCTGTGACTCCCCCCCTCACTCACCCCAGGATCCTGTGACTCCGCCCCTCACA